ACTTCATTATATATTATACATTATATATTATTAATATGCTATTATTATACTATAATATTATATTCTTTTGGAGGCAAGAAATGCTTTAAAATTGATAAGTAAGAGTATAAATAGATGAATGTAAGTGAGACATTATCAAAATTTTAATCTTTATAGAATTTGGTATATGAATGCTTACATTAATGAAAATAATATTCTATAGCTGTATCTGTATATTTTTGTACTGAACTCAAATTAGGTCATGTCTGACTAATACACAGAATTAATGCCAAGAGTGGGGTCATAGAGCTTCACTTAAACTTCAGAGAAAGGCCTGGGAGGTCAGGCTGTGTGCTCCTGAGAGGTGATACCTGAAGCTGTGACGGTGAAATCAAAGCCACTGTGAAAACCCCAAGCAGTTGGATGTGCCAGCACTGTGAAAGGTCTGCTGAGGAAACTCACAGGCACCAAGAAGAGCCAGGCCGAGAGCCAAACCAGGGAAGCTGCAACCCACATAGAGGCAGGGCTGCCCAAGCCTTGAGGGTTCCATCTTATCACCACACGTCCCCGGTCTTGGGCTTGTAGCTATGGGATTTACATTTGCTCTGCTGATTTTTAGTCTTGCTTTGGTCTGAATACTTTATATCCTTTCTTTTGGAATGAACATGTTTACCCTACATTGTTGTATGTTAAAAGTATTTAATTTATATTTTTGTTGTTTTTACAGAGACTCACAACTACAGAGACTCTGTGCCTTGAGTGACAGAGGAGACTTTGGACTTAGATTTTTGAACAGTGCTAAAACTCCTAAGACTTTGATGACTCTTAGAGATGAATTGAGTACATTTTACAGAATGAGATGTATAGGAGTCTTTTGGGGGCCAGGAGTGGAATGTAATGGTTTAAACCTAAAATGCCCCCTGCATATCTCAGAGGGAGACATTTGGAAGACGACTAAATCACACAGGTGATAGAGTCATCAGAAGATTAATCCATTGACAGGTTCAGAGCTGAATGTGCTGGTAGTGGGCGGAGCCTGGTGAAAGAGGGCGATCACGAGGGGCATTACCAGAAAGGGTACACTCTTTTTCCTGACTCCTCCCCTTTCTCTTTCTCTACTTCCTGACCACCATGACAGGAGCAGCTTTTTCTCTACTCTGCTTTTCTACCACGACGTTTCTGCCTTCGAGACAGCCAATCATGGACTGGAACTTTTCAAACTGTTAGGCAGAATAAACCTCTTTGCCTTTAGCTGCAGGTGTCTGCTGTCTCTCAGCAATAGGAAGGGAATTAATGTAAGTATGCTTCCAACAGCAATCAAAATAGTATTATACCGTTCTAATATTTTTTGTATTTAACTGAAATCAGGCAAGAGATATTTTCACAATAAAAAATCCTATTAGAGAATTGTTTATAACTTCTCAGGAAAAGTTAAGAACATAAATGCTAATTTTACTCCCTCAATATTTCATGAAGAAAAATGTCAACATTATGGACAACATTCATGATATATGCTCTTTTACAAAGAAAAATAAATATAAAAAGTATGAAACATTTAACATTTAAAATTTTGTCATCTCAAAATACAAATGGTCCATAACTTGAAATATTTTGACTTTTTTTGGATTTTTTTATTTTAAAGACAATAAAAAAATAAAAAACCAATGATACAAAATTTCAATACTTTGACTTTAAAATGAGGTGAAGGTCCCGGTACCGGAGAAAAACCAAAAAAAAAAAAAAAAAAAAAAAAAAAAAAAAAAAAAAATGAGGTGAAGGTGGTATACATTTAGTAGAAACCAATTTTAAATTTGAATATTTTCCTGGGCTACCAGTATTTGGTAGACAATCTCTATCAGTGCTGGAGAGCATCAGTGAACTGCAGTTCCGTCCTGGTCAGGCAAGAGACCTTATGGTCAAGAACTAATACGCTACAATGTACTGTGTTGCTAAGTTCATACGTTATACATTTCAATAGATTTTTGCCTTGAGGTCTTTTCCACTTACTATGAATGGATGAAGATACAACTTCATTTTAAATACAGGAGAATGCATACATTTTTGAGCTCATGGAAGCTAATGCTCTGAAATCTTCTTTAAAATAGTCGAAACTACTGGATTTTGCATTAGCTGGATTAATAGTATTTGTAACCATGTTTCTATATGACAAATGTTTTGTCTCATCACTACCAGTACAGTGAAATTAATTGAAAGTTCATGATAGAATGAAAAACTCAAGTGCAGAACATGGTCATGCTGCTGTTACAACAAATTTAGAACTGATTTTAAACAAGCCAGATGCAGCTTTGCTCATACTCTTAATTTTTATTTTCACAATATATTTACTGGAGTTATTCAATGTCAGAGGAAAGACAGTGGGTTATCCCCGCTCTCTCATGGCCAAAATATGTGGCAGAACATTTTTGCAGGTAAGTAAAATGAAACAGAGGCTATTACATATTAAAATTTCTAAAATGAATTCTAAATAATTTACACCAACAAAAACTAGACCGCTGTGTGAGTCAGCTTCTCATCACTGTGATGAAGTGCCTGAGAAAAACAACATGGAAGAGGAAATATTTACTCTGCCTCATTATTAGACCTTTCTAACCACAGTTATCTAGGTCCACTGTTGTGAATCTGTGGCAACTAAAAACATCACAGCAGAGGGAGGTGACAGAGGAAATCTGCTCACCTCATGGAGGTCAAGAAGCAGAGAGGAAAAAAACCTGAGAGGAAAAAAGCCTGACAGGAAGGGGCCACGAAACAGATACAGTCTACAACATCAAACCCCTGACATTTTCTCTTCAGCCGGGTCCAACCACCTGCTTCCATCACCTACCAATGATGCCATCAAATTGCATTAGAGATGCAAAGCTCATTATCTAATTGGTTTCTAATACCCTATCAGCAATCAAACCATCAATACAATGAACATTTCTGGGGAAATTACTATATCCCAAATATAACAACTAATTACAACCAATTATTGCTTTCTAAGAATATAATCTGGTTTTTAGAAGCTGCAAAAAAAAAAAAAAAACTAAATTGAGTGCCTTGTGAATGTAATTATTTATGATGTGAACTTCATTTTATAAAGATTCTTATCACCTATTTTTATTTGAGGAAATTATGGAAATTGTGTTGAATGAGATAAAAGTTGAGACACAAATGGAAATCAGAAGTGGGTTATCATATTTAATGTTCCATTGCCATATCTAAAGATCTAAGGTTTTGGTAAATTATTTCTAAAAAGATTTGGAAAAATAGCAAATGCAATTGAAAATATTATGAAATAATATAGAGATGAAGACAAAAATTTAGTATATTTTTGAAAGTACAGAGAAAACATCTTCTTCAAGAAATTGACAAAGGTTTCAGTTGATGGGACGATGTGAAAAAGTCATATCATCTCTCTCGAATCAATCTTTGTATCAGAAATGTAAAGAGGGAATGAGTTTTCATCAAGGTGTAGGGAATCAATGAGTGAACAATAAGATCCCTGTCACTGGTGTCCTTCATGGATAGAATCAGTTGGAAAAAACTTCCTTTTCCACCAGTCTCAGTTGAATATGAACATTTAATTAAAACAGCAAACCTGCCTATAGTCACAAAGGGAGCAAGATAGCAGCTATATTATTTATGAAAGCTATATCCTCATGAAAGGGTAATGTAAATTTTAATTTCAAAAATGAAAACATTTTGGAAATGTCTCATTAAAAGTGACAGAGGGTGCTGAGAGTTATACAAATTTCAATTCATATTAGTATTTTCCCAAAGTGGTGATAACTGGTGCAGGAAAAAAAAACACTTTATTCGCCATTCAAAAAGAAAATCCAACAGATGTTTATAAGCAATCTTAGAATGGCACCTGTGTTTGCTAGTTTGTGTTCCGAATTTCAATATATCTCTATCCCTGTTTTAAACATATAAACAATAAGAAAACTAGTGTTCTTTTTCTCCTGAGGTAGTATCTCACATTTCCAATTTCTCTAAGATCTGTTTCTTAAAATTTCTTCTCCTGTGTCCTTACAGAGATGAAATTTTAATTCAGTAATCACTTTCTGTGCCAATAGATTGTACAATTAAAATTGTGTCATTTCAAATAACTTTTAAGAAACATTTTATGCTATAACAATAACCAGGTTACAGTAATACTATACTTGCACTGAGCAAAATGATCCCATATCATAGTATTAAATAAACTTCCGCTTAGAAGATGAAGCTTTTGCAAGCTATATTTGAGAGCATTTCAATATTTGAGCCATGCATTTCCTATGCTTCACTGGAGATTTACCAGAAACCACAAGGCCAAAAACTTGCTGAGTTAACATATTTTAAAACTTTTCTTAATTTATATTTATTGGAGCCAAAGTTCAAAATTTTAAATAATAAATTCTATGAAGAAATCTATATATACACTTAGAATTAAAATATATATTTATGATCAATTTAAATATATGAGTACTAGCATTAAGGTAGTTATATCTAATCAAAACAGTAGTAATAAAAATTAATATTGTTTTATGTGGCATTTCAACCAAGACTCTTGATATTTGACTGTACAAGATAATTTTGGACACAAATTTAGTAACACTTCAATAATTCATGAAAGAAAATTCCATTCTTAGTCACTATTATTTAAAATCCCAAATCTATGCAGGTTGCTCCAAATATGTTTCAAACTGAAAGTCCTCCTATAAAATACAGGAATAATTAATTCTAGAGAATTCTAAAGAGTACAGTCCTGCTTTTACTATATAGTATGTGAGAACAAGCATGAGGGTGAAGTCCAGTTTATTGTAAGAACTCTTAAAACACACAGATAGAATGTTAGTCACTATAAAATGCCATATAATTAAAATTTTTTACCAAAGCTTTTAGGTCCATAGTAACAGATTTAAAAATAAAATTGCTATGATTGATTTATCTCAATATACTTATTTGATATAGATATTTTCATGGATAGAAATTTAAGTGTGCCAAATGACATCATCTATAAACATTTACTGTGCACTTACCAGAGCCATACACTTCACTTCAGTAATATTTAGGGGTGGCCCAGCAGAGGCATGGATCTCAAGATGATACCAGACTCTTAAATTTTTAAGGTCTTCATCTGAAATACAAAACAAAACAAAGACTAAGGAAGAAACAACAAAAACACAGTACTTCATATAAGCTTCAGAATCCCATGCTTGATGTACAAATTCAAGAGCAGGCTGAAGAGATGTTTTTAAATGCGCTGATGCGTCTAGAGAGTGCAGAGGAAACCTGAGCGTGGTGGTGGTGCATGTCTGTAATCCCAAGCACTCAGGAACCTGAGGCAGGAGGACTCCTATGAGGTCCAGGCCAGCCTTGGCTGCATTGTAACTTCAAGTTCAGCCTGAACTACATGGCGAGACCCTGTCTCTGAAAATGAGAGAGAGGGTGAGAGAAAGAGAGAAAGAGAGAAAGAGAGAGAAAGAGAGAGAGAGAGAGAGAGAGAGAGAGAGAGGAAAGTGGTTTCATTATAGTTTGTGAACAGTAAGAGAAGCCCATTCTGCATGCCCTAAGAATACCCTGTCTAAACTCTTGGTCTTATGCTGTTCCGTTTACTCATCCTACCCTTCACTAAAATATAAGATGTTTTACTTCTAAGTCAGAAATTAGTGCTATAAAGAAATATTTATTTTTTTCTCTAATTGCTCAAACATTGACGTATTTGTACATAAACTGTCAAAATGACACTTTGCAATTGATAAAGGTACATATGCATACCAAAAAAATTTAGACTAAGGAGAAAGGCATTAGTATGACATTTCAGTTGCTTGGGAGTATGAAAAAGAATCCCAGTAATTTAGCCTAAAGAAAGACAGAAAGAAATTTGGACTAGATAGTAAGCAAATGAAGTTTTCACCACAAGGTTTGCTTTTGTTGCAATGAATATAAAGTATAGTAGAATTATTTGAAAACAGATCAGAAGAAACAGGTTTACGTGGTTATCCCCACCTGAAAACCATCACATATGTTCTTTTGTAAGAAACAACAATAGTCTTCTCATTTGACTATAGTAGTCATGGTTACTGAGGGTGATAGAATCAAAATGGAAACTATATTACTCAAATTTACTGAAGTAGACAGTTCAGTTACTGGTGATGTAAAGCCATACTCTAGCCCTGAAACTGGAACCATGCTACTTGCATCAAATTCAAGTTCTTTATCTTTATTTTAGTGTCTTTTCAACTTCTCAATTTGATATTCTTTTGCATTACAGAATTTAACTAGTAAATGGTTTAAGAAGTTCTCTGGTTTCAGTAAATTTTACATGTTTACATTAATATTGTTTAGAAGATTTCAAGAACTGTTATGCTACAATAATTTACTTAAGTGGGCTGGACTGGTGGAATTCTCAGAGTCTCTTCTGAAAGTCTTCTCTTTGTATATTGTTTTACGCTGCATTGCATTGCACTGTACTGTACTATATGGCATTGTGGAACATTACATGACACTGAAGAGCATATTGTATTGTACCACATGGCATTGTTTTAATGGACTATTTCTGAACCACCTTGTACATTACCTATAAGCCATCCTAGTCTAATACCTAGTCTAACTACCAAAAACACTTATAAAATTGGCGAATCTGAGAGACACTCAAAGCAATCAGTAAGATGGAGAACTAGAGAAACTCTTTATGACAAACTTACTTCCTCATTTTTAAATATCTCCTATGCTTATGTATTTCCAGGTACCAGTTCATTCTCATGAAACCATCAATGTGCAAATAAGTTTACCAAATATACAATGGTGGAGAACTACTGAAAAAATCTCTTCAATTTGTATTGACTGCTCGTTTAACTTTATGAAAGCACTTTAAAAGATTTTATGACATTTAAATGTGACTTCTCAAAAAATAAGCCAAAATTCTTAAGATATATTTCCCCTTTCAGTACCTCACAGCTAATTTACATGGAAATTTTCAGTGCTTTAGCCTGTAGTGAATACACAGAGAAAGGATTTGGGAGAGAAGAGGTATCTGTGACCACAAGGTTTGCTTTCGTTGCAATGAATATAAAGTATAGTAGAATTACTTGAAAACAGATCAGAAGAAACAGGTTTACGTGGTTATCCCCACCTGAAAACCATCACATATGTTCTTTGGTAAGAAACAACAACAGTCTTCTCATCTGACTATAGTAGTCATGGTTACTCAGGGTGATAGAATCAAAATGGGAACTATATTACTATCTTACTTAAGTAATATTAACTATAGTACTCAAGGTTATCCAGAGGAATAGAAGGAAAAGTGTGTGTGTGTGTGTGTGTGTGTGTGTGTGTGTATGTTAAAGAGAAAGACAGAGACAGAAACAAAGACAGAAATCACACCACTGATTCTATTTCTCTGAAGAATCCTGACTAATACAAATTCATTCAATAAATTTTCTTTTTTGGTATATATCTTTGCCTCTATAAATTTGCTCCTATTGAACCTCTGTTCTCTACTAAACATTTTGTTCCTTGCTATCGAGCCATAAAAGAACAACTTCTCCAAGAAACTTTCTCTGACTATTCCAATTCTCTATAATCATATTTTCCTTTAGATTTATACCAAAACACTATGATATTTAACATTCAAAGAAAGCTTTAAAATATAGGAAGGGAAAACAATAGCACCTAGTTTCTTTGGCATATAAAAAGATTGCTATGATCTTCTATACTGAAATAACTAACGCATATTGCATAATTAAAATAATACATTCATTAGCATTTTATCAGAAACTTGCTGTATTCTGTAATAATAGAAAAATCAGTAAAACTTTTTTCTTACAGAACAGTAGGCAGTCTTCAAGCTGAAGTTTTATAATCCATTGATGCTGATAAAAATAGAAATCCAGAAAATAAACTACATAAAATTAATTTTCAAATAATGCCATACAATGCTTACAGACATATGCAGTACCAATTCACAGATGTATTATCCATGTAAGTATATTTTTATATACAAGTTAGTGATGACGAGGGCTCATGTATGCTAATCATGAAACTGTACGATGTATTTACCTGGGTATTTCTTAGTAAAAGTGGAGGATAGTTCTGAAGCATTTGACAGTTTATGAAAGAATTCTTGATCTTGAATTGACTCTTTTGGAGAATCATCATCACTTCCATCTTTAACGGAAAATGAAATTGTACCTATAACACATGAAAATTCAAAGTCAGTTAACTAAGGAGCAGTTTTGGAAATGAAAGCTTAGTCTCAAGTATTAAAGTTACTCTCGCTTGAAACATAAATATAAACCCAAACAAATTCTAGATGGCAGTATCAAGAAGTAAACCTGACAAGAGGTATAGAACAAGTTAATTAATAATTCAAAGAAAATATTTCCAAAATCTCCATTACAATGTAATTCTCAATAATTTCCTTGCAGTAATTAAAATTATGTGGAAAAAAAGTAAAGTACTTCAACCTTGAGAAAATGTAATGATTCTGAGTGACTTTTCCTAAACCTCAACATTCTTTTTCCCCATCACTGCCTTGAAAGCATTTCTCCTGGCATGTTCCTCAAATTCACAGGCTGCTTTGAAGAGTCTGACATTAAACTATACTGCCTGCTATCATTCTCAAAGTACTGTAGTCACCTACTGGACCCAAGATGACCATACTACATTTAAGTTCAAAAGTGCACAGCTGTCTTATTAATGTTTTCTTTTCAGTTACTTCAAACATTAGTGGAAATGTTTAACTTTCACATAAATTCTCCAAGACCCTACTCCATCTAATAACTGCATACATATGTATTTCAAAGTTTTGTACATTTATATACACACATTCATCTATGTGTATTTACACTATTCTAGCCTCTACAATCTGGATAAAATGAATAACATAAATCATCAAAAGTGACTCAAGGGATGCCAATCACTGATGTATATAAATCCTTGAAGAAAGAAGATTATCATACTGTATAAAATTTTTAAGCCAGTGCTGCATGCTTAGAATCCCAGCACTTGGGAGGTTGCCAGCCTGTGCTACACAGCAAGTTCAAGGCCAATCTGAACTATATAGAAAGAGCTTGGCTTTAAAATCCAAATATATATGTATTAGAAAGCATTGAGGACAGGCAGAAAAACAAAACATTGCAATTTAACACTTAAAGCTAAAATAACAGACCAAATTTAATAAAAATATTGCCAAGAACTACAGATTCAAAAATCGTATGCTGCTCTTTGAGAAAAAAAAATACTGGAACTAAAATAAAAATCACATTACTCTTTCAAATTAACAATTATTAACACTTTTGAGGGTAATGAGCAACAACTACCATCATGCACAGTATTAATAAGAGTAAAAATTTGCACTGAATCTTTTGGAATAATGTTCCTACATGCACAAACTTAAATACATATCCCTTCAAAATATAAACTGTTTGTTAAGCTAATACTTCTATCTTAAATCTTGTAGCTAAAGTAGCACAGAGGGTAAATAATTATTTACACTAATATTTGTAGCTGTAAAGGGAGGGAAAAGGATAAGATTTCAAACTCTTCATGCCTAGTGACATGAATTACAATATGTACAGTTTTGGAATACTGTTAATCTAGTCAAAAATGTGTGAGAATTGCACTAAAACTGTGTCCATGATCTTATGAGTGAAAGAAGGCATTGGTAGTTTTATATCTCATATAATCCATCCATACATTTCTAATAAATATGTAGGATTATATATTGATGTTTGGGAAAATATATGAGAAATTCTAAGTAATAATTTTCATTGAGATTATAGTTGTTGATGCATCCAAATCTTTTACTTTTCACTTCATATCTCTTTATACAAATTTCTACAGTGAGCATGAATTTAAAAATATTCTTAAATATTTATCCAGGCATTTAAAAAATATTTTTAAGAGAGGCTAATATCCAATAATCACATAAAGATTTTCATTGATATGTTTTCAATACACGATATTTACATTCATTTAAGGGTATCAGTAAAGATATATATATCGTACTTTTAGCCTTTATGATCCTTTTCCCCCTTTTCTTCCCCTCACCACTGAAATAGTTTAATACTGGAAAAACTATCATTGTACTTCTTCCCAATACAAGAAGTGATATATATCAACACTATACAGATAAATTGTGAAAAAGTAATTTTACAAAATTAAAAACCAAATTTTGATTTCCTTAGGAAACGGAAATGGATATATTTGTATTAAACACAATTCAAGTAATGTCAATGTACAAAAAACTCTGTTACTACTTTTAAATGTGTAGATACTTTATAACAATTTCAACATATATTTTCTCATTTGATTTCAATGGTGTTAGTTCTCTATCCATTTTTCTCTTGATATCTATAAAATAATCAATTCTTTTTTTTTTTTTTTTTTTTTTTTGGTTTTTCTCCGGTACCGGGAACCGAACTCACGACCTTGCGCTTGCCAGGCAGGCGCTTTTGCCGCTGAGCTAAATCCCCAGCCCCTAAAATAATCAATTCTTAAGTGTTTTATATTTAATCCTATAACCATTAATACTTATTGTCACTAGGTGAGATGTTTAATCAACACTTAACTGTTTAAAACCAGTATAATGGGTAATTTATATATTATGAGTGTTTATATCAACATATTATTCAGTTGATAAACCATATATTTTCCCTTTTTCATCTTTCACATCATTCTTGGTATCTTTTAATATATAAATTGGATAATATGATTCTTTTTGATTCCCTTACTTTGAAATATCACAATCACTTAAGATTCAGACTGATAGAATTTCTTTTACACAACTATTAAGTCCTATAATTATCTGTATTTTCAAGAACACAAATTATGAAAAATAAAAATTCAGTACTTTGCCCAAGGTTAATCAGCTAGCAATAATGTACCTGGAATTTGAAAATGAACATTCTGGATTCAAAATTCACCCCATTTTTGTACAAGGGAGGAAATTATAAAGATAAGAACAGAAATTAAAGCAATTTACACTAAGAAAACAATACAAAGATCAAAGAATTGATTCTCTAAAAGATTAAATATAATGGATAAACCCTTAGCCAATGTTATCAAAAAGAAGAAAAAAAAGACTCAAATTCCTGCAATTAGGAATGAAAACAGCAAAATCATAACAGATCCTATGGAAATCCAGAAGATCATCAATACCTATGACAAGAACCTGTATTCTGATGATGGAAAACACAAAAGAAATGGACATATTACTAGGTACATACTAGATACAGATTACTAGACACATATGAATTGCCAAAACTGAATCAAAAAGATGTAAAAATTATAAATAACCCAATATCAGTCAGTGGAATTGAGAATATAATTAACAATAACCAACATAATATATCCCAGGCCATGAAGGATTCACTGCTGAATTGTATAAGAAATTTAGCAAAGATTTAATGCCACTACTCTTCTATATCTTTAATGAAATTGAAAAGGAAGTAATACTCCCCAAATCATTCCTGGAAGAAAGTATTACCCTGATATTAAAACCAGAGAAAGACTCAACCACAAAAAGAGGACCAAAGGCCAATCTCCCTAATGAACATACACATAAAAATCCTCCATAAGGTACTGGAAAATTGAATGCAGCAAATCAGCAAGAAGATTATAGAGCATGACCAACTAGGATTCATCCCAGGGATGCAGGGATGGTTCAACATACGTCAATCAAAAACTATAATACACCAAAGCATCAGAGCTAAGGAAAAAAATTCACATGATCATTTCAAGAGATGGAGAAAGAGCACACAAAATCCATTCAAAATAAAACAAAAACCTCTACAGAAAATCAGCATAGATGGTCTTTCTCTCAATTCGATAGAAGCCATTTATGACAAATCAATAATGAACATTAAACTAAACTGCCAAAACCTGAAAACATTCATTCTAACATCAGGACCAAGACAAGGATGTCCACTATCACCATTCCTATTTAAAATAATTCTGAGAATATTAGTCAGAAAAATTAGACAAGAAAAAGAAATAAAAGCAATAAATATAGGAAAGAAAGAATATAAACTATCGTTATTTGCAGATAACATGATATATTAAATAGGGACAACAAAACCTCTACCAAAAGACTTGAAGATTTAATAACCAAATTCAGCAGCATAGCTGGATACAGAGTCAACAGTTAAAAATCTGTGGGATTATTGTACACAAACAACAAATGTATTGACAGTGAAATCAGGGAAACAACACCTTTCAAAATAGCATCAAAAAATGAAATATTTAGGAATTAATGTAACAAAGGAAATAAAAGCTATCTACATTGAAAACTACAGTACTCTGGGAACTAATTTTTTTTGTACCAGGAATTGAACTCAGGACCCTTGTGCTTGCCAGGCAGGCACTTGTGCCATTCCGCTATATCCCCGGTCCGTGAAAACTACAAGTACTCTGAAAAAGGAGATCAAAAAGGACATCAGAAAATGGAAAGATATCCCTTCCTCATGCATAGGAAGAACCATTTCTTGAACATATTCTCAAATTTGATATACATATTTAATGAAATCCCAATCAAAATACCATTAGCATACCTTGCAGAACTAGAGAAAACATTGTTAAAATTCATTTGGAAGTAGACTAGACCTAGACTAGCAAAAACAATCCTAGACAACAAAGGCAAGGGAAGGCGCACCACAATCCTCGACTTGAAATTATACAAAATCACTGTGATAAAAACAGCATGGTACTGGAAAAAAAATAGACCTGAGGATCAATGGAACAGATTAGAAAATGTTTAAACAACTCTAGACACACTGAGCCACTTATCTTTGACAAAGAGGCCAAGCACGTTCACCGGAAGAAAGACAGCCTCTTTAGTAAGTGGTGCTGGAAAAACGGGCTTTCCACATTCCAAAGACGAGCTCACTTCAGCAGCACATACACATACCAAAGACTAAAACTAGAACCATGTCTCTTACCATGCTAAACAAACATCAAAATTGATCAAAGATCTAAATATTAAAACAGAAGCACTAAATCTCCTGGAAGAGAGAATAAGTAGAGCACTTGAAGGCACAGGTGTAGGCAAAGATTTCAGGAACAAAAGCCCAATCGCGAGGGAAATACTATAAAGAATCAATAACTGGGACCTCATTCTATTAAAAATTTCTTGCATAACAAAAGAAATTACCAAGAGTGAAAAGATAACCCACAGAGTGGCAAATAACTTT